CATGTGTTCACACCTTTAGATGTCTCGGTCATAGCACTAAAAAAAAGTCATGCATCTCTGTCCTCTTAGTATAAGAATAAATCAGGAAGAAGATCAAGTGGTAATGAGCAAACTACCTAAAAACACTCTATCGGATCTTAAGCTAATAGTCGTTGCTGATTGGCGAACTTCATCATCCAATGGCTTCTTCATCGAAACCCAAAAGGATTTACGACGTCTTCTTGAGTTTCAGAGGTACAGACTTGCGCAACAACTTTCTCAGTCATCTCTACAAATCTTTAGAGCAAAATGGAATATGCACTTTTGTTGATAGCGAGGAACTGAGGAAGGGAGACCACATATCGCTGGTGCTTATGAAGGCCATCGAGCAATCATCCTTTGCAATCATCGTTTTCTCGAACGATTATGCTTCCTCACGATGGTGCTTGGAAGAGGTGGCAAAGATTATGGAGTGCAAGGAACAAAAGGACCTCACTGTTCTACCAGTTTTTTATAAAGTGGATCCAAGAGAAGTGAGAAGGGGGAGAGAGAGTTATGGGAGAGCTCTAGCTAAGCATGAGTCCAAGTTTGGAAAGGATTCCGAAAAAGTGAAGAGATGGAAGAAAGCTCTTTTCAACGTGGGTAGCTTATCCGGATGGCATTTGAATGATGGGTAAGTTGAGTGGAGTTCATATTTTTGTGCAAGAAACCAATCTTTACAAGTATAAAGACTGTTTGTTAAAAAGAATAAATGAATTGACACACATGATGTCATCTATAATATGTTAATACTTGATCTACCAATGGATAAAATGTTAAGTAGTGTTATTGCACCAACCCCATTTCTTTGGAAGGAGTAAGAAAGTTTGCAAGGTCAGTTACAAGATAATTAGTGTGTATAGGCCATGTAAGGCAATGACACGGTGCTCTAGGGTATTTAATAGTTTTCGAATTGAAATCTTAACCACCGTTCAAAGTCCTAAATAGCTCTTTTTGATGAAGCGTATAGATATATCACATATAACAGTCAAAAGCAAAACTAAGTAAATCGTCATATATAAATCAAAAGAGCATGAATCACTTGGATGACTAAAAGTTGAACCCCGAAATGGTTGTTTTGATTGGTGTGGAGCTCTTGGAATTCTAATTCAACTAGGTGGATATATATATATAATCTGAAAATGTGATGCATTGCTTTATCATTATTAGCTTATGATTGTTCATTATTTGCTATTCAAATCGCTAAAAAAGATACTCCAACTTCTTTTTCCGTTTTTGACAGAGATGAGTCAAAGCTTATACAAAAAATTGTGAAGGAGATCTCTAATCATCTAGACCGAAAACCTTTGCATGTTGCTAAGCATCCGGTTGGGATAGATTCCCAAGTGGTTAAGTTGAAATCGATGTTAAATCTGGAGTCTGATGATGGTATTCTCATGGCCGGATTATGGGGACTGGGAGGTACAGGGAAGACAAGTTTAGCAAAAGCTCTTTACAATGCTATATTTAGACAATTTGAGGGTTCATGTTTTCTGGCAAATGTTCGAGAAACTTCAAAAGGTAGCATGGGTCTAGTCAATTTGCAAGAAATATTACTAAAAAATATATTATTATTGAAAAAAAAATTACAAGTGTCCAACGTCGATGAAGGTATTAATATAATACAACACAGACTTGGTTGCAAGAAAGTTCTCCTCATCCTTGATGACGTGGATGACTTGCGCCAATTAAATGCTTTAGCAGGAGAAGGCAAGTGGTTTGGTAATGAGAGTAGGATCATTATTACCACAAGAGATAAACAGTTGCTAACTTGTCACGGGATAAATCAAGATCATGTGTATGAAGTTGAAGCACTAGATGACAATCAAGCTCATGAGCTGCTTTGTAAGCATGCTTTTCAAATGCCCCAAATCAAAACAGATCTAGTGGATAGTGCTCTGAATTATTGTAAAGGCCTCCCTTTAGCACTTGAGGTGTTGGGTTCCTTATTATGTGGTACAACGGAAGATATATGGGAAAGTACACTAATGAAACTTTCTAGGATTCCTAACAAAACCATTAATAATGTGCTCAAAATGAGTTACAATGGACTAGATGAAAATGAGAAAGAGATCTTTCTCCACATTGCTTGCTTCTTTAAGGGGCGGGAAAGAGAGTATACAAACAAGGTTCTCAACAGTTGCGATCTCCAGACAGCTGTAGGATTCGAAATTCTTATTAAGAGGTCCCTGATAAGAATTGAGTCCGAAATCCTAGAAATGCATGACTTAATTCAATTGATGGGTATGGATATTGTGAAACAAGAATGTCGCGATGATCCCGGAAGACGCACCAGGCTTTGGCTATATGATGATGTTGTCGATGTTCTGTCACGTGACATGGTAAGACCTGCGAATACGATCAAAATTGTGCTTCTTATATTTGACTTTAATTACTAAAAATGCATAACCTAAATAATCTTGTATATACAGGGAGATTGTGCTGTAAAAGCCATAGTGTTGGAGCTACCTGAGCCGACAGACATGGATATCGGTCCTAATGCTTTTACAAAAATGAGAAGGTTGAGATTACTCATCATGCACAATGTGCATAATTCTTTGAAAGATCCTTTATGTCTTTCTCATGAGCTTAGATGGTTTGAATGGCCTGGATGTGCTCCCTCCGTTCCAGAATTTTCCTCTGGTCGAAATAAATTAGTGGGACTTGATGTGAGCAAAAGCAGCATCAAAGTAGTGCTAAAACAATTTAAGGTGAGGATTTACCTACATAGACCTTTTTAATATTTATTTCATTTGTATGTGTATATGCGTGTTACGTGTACTTGTACACAAAAGGAAGTGGTATTCCTATGTTTTAGAAACCACTTCTCTATTTTCTTTCAAAATGACCCTAATAACTTGTTGTTTGAAATATTTTTACATGCATCAAAATTGGCATTTGAAAAATTAAGCTAAATAACTTTATTAGAAATATGTTATGGAAACATTTGTTGTTGAAATAGACGGAACGAAGGAACTTGTCGAAAGAGAAAAATATTTCAAAATTTGAAATTTTTTATGAAGGTCATTGGATCATAAGAAAATTCAAATTTTAATTTTAATCACGTGAGAGATTAAATAGAATAACCAACTTCACGTATTTGTCCATGGGTATAATATCTGTGATATAAGTTATTGAGGATAATTGATGAAAGGAATAAAAAAAAATTTAAAATCACTTTAAAATGTTGACCAAAGTTGGTTTTGCTGTTTTTGCAGGACTTCCCAAATATGAAGTACATAAATTTAAGTGAATGTGAGACGCTGGATAGTATTCCCGACCTCTTATGTACTCCAAATCTCGAGGAATTGAATCTCAAGAATTGCAAAAACTTGGTAAATGCACACGAGTCGATTGCATATCATGACAACTTACAGGTTTTGACTTTAAAGGGGTGCTCTGAACTTAGCGTTTTCCCAAATGAGCTCAAGTCAAGAAATCTTCGAGCTCTCAATCTTGCAAATTGCACAAAACTTGGAAGGTTCCCTGATATTCCACAAAAATTAGGCTTGAAAAAGCTTGCTTTACGAGGGACCGCTATCAAAGAACTTCCTACGTCAATAGAAAATCTAGTCTCTTTGGAGAAAATGGATGTAGGTGATTGCAAGAACCTGATAAGTCTTCCGTCTAGCATTTACAAGTTACAAAACATTAAAAAGTTGAGTCTTCCGCGTTGCACAAAATTAATCGGGTTTCCAAAGTATGAGGATTCAGCTGATCCACACATGAAGACTGGACTGCCAAAGTTACTCTACTTAGACCTTCAGGAATGTAATCTGTCCGAAGTAGAATTTCTTGAGAATCTTTCCTGTTTTCCCTTGTTGGATCATTTAATTCTGTCGGGGAACAAAATTACCAGCCTTCCCACATCCATCAATAAGCGTGATAGTTTGACCCGTTTGGCAGTTTCAGATTGCCATCAATTACGAGAGATTCCCGAGCTTCCACCATTTTTGGATTTTTTGTCGGCTCTTAATTGCGAATCTCTGCAAAAGATTGGAAAATTTACTTCAACGCATGATTTTGTCCGAAGAGCGTTTACCATGGATCATATTTTCTCATGTGACCAGGTCAGATTCTCTCTCTCTCTCTCTCTCTCTCATGCGTGCATTCATATGGAGTATGTGCGGGCTGTAGTGTGTGTTTGTATATTGCAAAATCAAAAAATGCAAGATTTGAGGCTTAAGAAAAGCAAACAAATCTAAAGAGGTTTTGCACGCATAGGCATGCAATGGAGGCGGCTACCATACTTTTATGGGAATGATTTCTATCGCATGAGACCTGTACATTAATGCAAGCATGGATCAGTGGATCTCTACTCATTTTAGAGCTCTAGTTCGAAATGGATTGCTTTCTAAACTCCAATTGAATTCATTTATTTGGTTACGAATAACAAATTTGGGTACATTCTAACGGTTTTTCTTACAACAGAATAGTTCTGATTTCTCTGTCTCACTCCCTGGAGAAGATATGCCAGAGTGGGTCATCCCTATTGAAGAGGATTTCATATCTTTCATGGCTTCAAAGGACTTGTACGACAAGTTTCTTGGATTTGCTTTCTGTGCCGTTGTTAAAACTAATGAAGAGATAGAGCAAAACATAATTGAGATTACACTATGTGTTAACGGCCAACAGCAGCCAACCATCGAACACTCTTTCGAATTGTTGGATTCGGATAATATCTGGTTTACATATACACCTTCTAAACTATGGGGAGTAGTCAATTTTGGTCAAATTGAGAGGAGTTATGCACAATTTCACTTTGCAGTATCCAGCAAAATCATAAAAAAGTTGGGATTCCGAATAATATGCAAGCAACTAGATGACGATTTAGAGGGTGTGTTTCAAGACAATAAGCTAATTTATCCAACTTACCTCTGTGAGGTTAGTTATGACTCAACAGATTCAGAAGCCGAGAGTTCACTAGTTCAGACTTAAATAGATTTGCAGAAAGACTTGGAAGAGTGTCAAATGACCACCAAAGAGAAATCATAATTCTATTCTCACTCAAGGCATACGAACCAAGACTATGTTGACTTCCAATTCGATTGGCGGAGATGAGTACGGTGATGTTGGCTTACAGCTTTTGTTGTCAGAATGATGGAAACTTGCCAAGGAAGCAATTCGTAGGTAAGCGAACTCAGCTGATCTTGATTAAAATGCCTTCTTTCTTCTTGTTCCTTCTTGTTTTCCTTTCTCAGAAAAACCTGTAACACGCTGTTAGTACCTACTTTTGCCCAAGTTAACTGTACATCCTAACTAAAATCCTGTAATTCTTTCTTCTCTTTTATCACTTTTCTTTGTATTTAGTTTTTCTCTCTTCTTTTGGGGGATCCTCTTTTCTCCGCCATAGGCAAACTTCGGGACTCCACCGATGCCACTTTCAACGTCACGACTGCTCCTCTTCCATCCGACACCACCGAGCTCTGACGAATGTAAGATCGCCACCTGCCGATGGAGGCGATGAATAGAAGAAGAAGTTCGTCTCCCTAAAACAGAGTCTTTATCGAAGCCACGGCGACGGAGGCCGGCGAGCGGAGGCAACGGACTACCACTCCCGTCCGAATCAATGGAAACTGATGACGTTGCTTCGGGGGAACCATTCTCTCCTGAGGTTTTGGGCTTTGTTCAGCTTGCTATGGATCAGGTGGAGCCTGGCACATCCGAATTGTATTAGTTGATGTGATACTTGAGCTGGATTTTGAATTCGATTCGTTTGGTGCTGCTATTGCGTGGGGACCCGATTAATGTGTCGTTGAATTTGTTTGGGAGATGTTGAACTAGCGTTTCTTTGTAAGATTTGTCTGTGGATGCTTGGTAGTGAATTCATTGGCGATCGACGTTAGACGCTGCAAAATCCGTGACAATCTCTAGAAGGTATAGCTTTTCTTGAGAGAGAGAGAGAGAGAGAGAGAGAGAGAGATTTGGGGGTGCTTTTGACGTGTCTGGGAAATGTAGTATGTACCTATCATAAAGATGTGCAGCTGGTGATAGGACTATGTGGCTAAGTTTTGTCAGGCACTTGAAGAGGCGAAACTATAGAGGGATGAAGAAGTTGCAGTGAGATGGCAAGCCACCACGGAGTGTTGCTTGACAGTCGAGTCATTTTGCCCCTTTTTAACTTTGGCAACTGGGGAGAAATGAAACCAATTCTAGTTAGGGCACGACAGTAATATGAACATCGGCTTGTGCCCATGGATAACTGGTTAGGTGGTTATTTACTCTCGCCCTGTGGACTGTGGATATGAAAAAGAAAAGAATCACGAGAAACACGGAGTTTGCATAAATTATTCTGTTGAATAGAGACAAAAGCACACGAAGCTGATTGTCAATTCTGATTTCTCTGGCCTTTGCAACAGTTTAAAGTTCTCTTTTTATCCTCATGTTCCACAGCGTTTATGAAGGAAATTGAGCTAGAAACTAAAACTCCCAGAAGCTTCTTGCATGTTTTAGTGGAACCTGATTAATGAAAGATAAACTTCTGAGGTACCAATAATAAGATGCACTGGAATGAGCAACATGTAGTTTCTCAAATTTGCTGCTGTTTTTGCTTTGGTGTTCTTAGAGCCACGTCAGTTTAAGTGTTAGGTGGGATTTGCATCTGAATTACAGGATGAGTATGTACTAATAATCATTACTTGGAAATTTGTGACCAGTATATTATACAGGACCTGCAAGATCTTGATGATATAGCTATGAGACATGGATTCATTCCATTAGTAGCTGCATACTGATACTGAAATATTTCTACTGCTGGCAACTTGATGCTGATTTCCCCTTGAATTGCCTGTATGCACGTACGAGGGAAATTCAAACTCTTATACTCATATTTTTCCTCCGAACAAGTAACAAGACCAATTTGCTTGTCTTATATAAGGCAAAGCTTGCTTTGGACAGCTTTGAAGTTCCAGTTGGGTAAGAAACAGATTTTCAGTAACCAGGTGCATCTCAGATATGCTACTTTTTTTCTAATTAACATGATTAGTATTTTCAGTCCTAATTAATAAATGATTTTACGTTGTACTTTTTTTAAATTATACTTTGATTGAACAGCTGTGTGATTGTTGAGGAAGGGCATCTTATTGCGGCAGGAAGAAACAGGACTAATGAGACACAGAATGTATGTCTATCATTGCTTCTCCACCCCTTCATATAAATTTTGGCCGGCAGCACTTTGTTGTTGTTCTGAATTGATACCCTCACATTATCCACTCGTAGTTATTGTTGATCTTTTATGTTTCTGCCTTAAATGTTTCTATAATATATGATAAAATAGTATATCTGAACAAATCTGTCAAAAAGTGGAATTTTCTGTGCATTATTAGTCTGTAAATGGTTTTGTTCCCATTATTCTTTCATAAAACATGACTAAAGCTAACAATAGCAAGAATCTTGGTTTACTATGTACAATGTTTCATGTTTCTCGTTTGCCACTGTGCTCTGTCTGAATTTTGGACTAAGAACAGTCAAAGAAAAAGGTTCAATGAGGAGAGAGAAAATAGGGGAATGACATTTATTTTTTTGAAAGATATAAAGCCGTTGCAAGCTGCTGGACCAGAATGTTGACTGCTCATGGATTGTGTTGTATTGCATGCTTGAATATGTTAACGAGTACTGATTGCCTAAAACAGATTATAAATTTATAGATTATTCTGAGTACGTGTTTATTGCTTTACATTACAGGAGAGTGAGCTGTTATCATGGCTTCACCTCTCTTGATTAAAAAGATGTAGAGAGAGATGCAAAATTCTAAAGGTATGGGAAGCGAGTTAAGAGACTTTGCAAAATATCAGGGATAGGGAGGATAACTGCAATTTCACATAAAATTTCAAAGAATATAACGCTTGAGTACTAGAAATTAGATTGAATACCTAATAGTAAGGAGAATGCTCTTCAAACAATGTCCACACCTTCACATTGAGGAGCAACAAGAGTTGTCCATGCTTCACGCATAAGATCCTCTCTTAGACTCTTAGTGTTGTGGGTATTTGAAGAAAGAACTGAAATTCCGGATAAGGTGTGTTGATGAATCTGTCTTAAAGACAGTGGTTCTTCCAATTGGAGTCGTGATCTAATGCAATTGGCTCTGATGAAAATCCTGTTCCTAGGATACAATGTATACACTGTAATTTTCCTCACTTAGTCTGCAGACCAAGCAAAGGCTGAACATAATTCAAGCCTTGAAAGTATAGTCAACGTGGAGCAGATACGAAAGAGGCGATTTGAAGAGGAAATAGATTTGGAATCAAATGTTAAGCAAGAGTGAAAAATAAATAAACGTGAAGGAGAAAACATTTTTCATGAAATGCATTTCCTAAGTTTATGTTGATACTACAATAAGAGCAACTTTCTCTCTACAAAGCTCCTAAGTTTGATACGCTTTCTTTATTTTTCTCCTTACGCATTCCTAGGCAACAAGACATGCAGAAATGGAAGCACGTGACGTTCTTTTTGAATAGTGGTGGAGGACTAGATTTTCGTCTGCAGAAGTTGCAGAGAGGTTTTCAGCATGCTCTCTTTATGTGACATGTGAACCATGCATAATGTGTGCAGCAGCATTATTGATCATTGGTACATCTGTTGATCATACTGAAATAAAACTAAACTTTCATGAAATTTGATTAGTCATAAATGATTAGATGACTCTTAGCCGTTTTTAGGTATAAAAATGGCTGTGCAAATGATAAATTTGGAGGCTATGGTTCAATACTGTCAATGCATTCAAGTAGCTCTAAGGTATCCATTAGGTCAGTTTCTGATCTTGCTTTTGTTGCTGATTTGGTATCTACGTAGCTCCACTTTGAAATTGTGACATATGATATTTGACAACTAAAGCTTACCACAGGTTTATGACTCCTTATGTTTATTACTGATGGATGTGGTTTCGTAGTAATTCTGCTTGTTGTCGCACTTTGAATATTGCGACACATAACAATGAAAATAAATGGAGGTTTGTGGAAACTAATTTTTCACCTTTTCTGTCCTTTTCCAAGTCTAAATGGAAGAAAGTCAAGTTTCCTTTTTTTTTTTTTAAATTCTAATGCGACTTGTTAGACATTTCCTTTTTTGTTTTTCCCTAAACATTTACTGTTCTGGGAAGTACTACAAGTTAAGGTAACATTAGTTTGTTCTTTCCATTTCTCTTTCCCCCTCTGTTTCTTCATCTCATCTTCCTCGCTTTTTTCCATTGCAGTGAGATTCTTTGATGTCTTTAATGTTATCAAGTTTAAAGCGGGAAATATAGCATCTTCAAAGAAATATGATTTAACTATGAGGAAATTATGCTTTCTGATATGTCATGGGCAATGTACTTAATAAAGAAATCTCTTTTTCTTGTTTATTAGTTGCAATTGTCTCCTCTTGCATACATGAGGGCATGTGCTTGGTAAATTGTGGTGTATGGCATGTATTTCCATTATGATTTTTCATCTGTCTGACGCTGCCATGATCTAACATTTCATGTTTCCTGAGATTGTCCAGAAGTCATCAATTTTTTACTCAGACTTTGTCGACATAAAAGCCAAAAACGTAATGAAATAAGGTCTGTTTCATTGTGATTTGAGCAGTACATGGAGTAGCTAATGTAGATTACAGACAATGTCTTTCTGTTGAATTATCAGTTTTGAAAGAAGAAACTCAAGTACGGGGAGGAGGGGAGGGGGGGAGGGTGTTGGAGGAGCAAGAGTATGAGTAAAAAATTTTAGGGGGGAAAAAATAAGCCATGAAAATTTTAGAGCAAGAGATTGATACATATGCTGCTCTTGATAATCTGGTTATAAGGAAGAAGAAAGAGTATGATTATGAGTGAAAAATTTTAGGGGGAAAAAAGTAAGCCATGAAAACTCTAACTTTTAAAGCAAGAAATTGATACTTATGCTGCTCTTAAGAGTCTGATTAGAAGTCAAAAGTATTGTGGGAAATATGAACAAGCTCATTGCCTTTCTGAATAGGACATCAAGCAAGAGGACGCATCTTTCAGATAAAGTACCACCTTGCTCAATTTCCACCGCGTGGAGCTCAAAAACTAGCCCTAATCATTGCATAGTTTCATGTTAGAGAGAATGAGACTGTTGTTATAACGGTGAGCATGGTTCATATGCAATGTTTGGAAGATGTAGCTAATTGAAACCCATCCTAGCCAGTATTAGTATACAAGTCATTTGCAAAACTTCTCTCTATCAGATTCCCCGTGCCAATATCTCTCTGAAGAGAACTTGCCATCCATGTTAAAAGCCCTAAAGTATCCCCTGTTTACAGTTATTGTTTGTTCTCCAAGGACATAGGTTACACTTAAGAGATAATTTACTTGCCTGAAAACCTATTTCCTGGAGTACAGACATTTCTTAAAATTGATATTCTTAGGACCTAAGCGTAAACTTCCTACGTTGAGCACATTCCTTTATTGGTGAACTTGTTTTTGCTTAGATGGTACCTTCTTTTGCAAAGTGCTTTCATTAGTCTGCTAAATTATATCTTGCTTGACATTTGGACATGTTTTGCAAATGGAATCTGTCATTGGGTGGTTTTCACATAAATTTCATCTATGTTTCCCCTTTCATGTGTCTGCCTGATTTATGAATGTTTCCAACTTTTTTCTTGTTTCTCTTGCAGTAATGGAAATTCTGGATCGAAGTGTTTCATATGTTGTGGAGGTATAATGGCATCAGAAGCGATTTCTCTTCTTCAAGACTTTTATGAATGAGGAAACCCAGATGGTATGAACGACGATCAACCATTTTAACCAGATGAACTGTCTGTTCAAAAGAATGTTATAATCTTGTAGTTAGCAGCTATTTACATTGGATAAACCTAAGGGAAATGATCGTTCTTTTTCAATGGACCCATAATTAAATGCACTCTTTAAGAGGCCTTTATGAGCATAATAGAGACGACGATCAACCATTTTAACCAGATGAACTGTCTGTTCAAAAGAATGTTATAATCTTGTAGTTAGCAGCTATTTACATTGGATAAACCTAAGGGAAATGATCGTTCTTTTTCAATGGACCCATAATTAAATGCACTCTTTAAGAGGCCTTTATGAGCATAATAGAGCAATTCTACCTTACGAACCAAAGTTTACTTTATCAATCAATGAACTTGAGCATTATGCCTGCTAGCAACATCTCCCTGAAGGACCCCTCCAAATAAAGCTCTTTCAAAATCTAATGCTATGGTCTTTCTAGCACTCATCCCCGTTCATATTGATTGAGAAGAATTCAGGAAGCCTCATTTTAATTCTACTTTTCAATCAATTCTCTCAACCAGCTAGAGAGAACTGTAGCTGGGGCTTTCCGTAATTTTGGAAATCTTGCTGAACAACTCTCTCTCTCTCTCTCTCGTCCATACGTAAATGGTTTTTTTCAGTAAAATATGTTGTTGTACCCTTGGTCTGAAGAATTATCTACCCACATTCCAGGTAAATAAAACTGGCCCAGTGGAATTTTTTGTAATTATATAAAGGATAATGAAATTGGTAGCATAGAATTAGTGGGTCGGTGGCTGCATAAGAACCCATTCAGAAGTTTGACACATCAAGGATAAGATGCACATCTTGAGATGGTGGGTACACTTGTCCAGACCGACACTAAGTATAGTTGCTTCAGTGGAGTGGTGTTCAGCCATGTAATGGTTGCTATGAATAGGCATAGAACTTGCCTAGTAAACAAAAAGGTAGAGTTTTAGAAACCCAGTCTTTTCTTTTGGCCAATTTTCAGATGCCCTGTTTATCAAATCTAGCTTTTCTCTAGACTGGGTATTCTTAGCCGGATTGCCATCTGAGAAATGGAACATCATGTCCTTTGTTTAGAGATGAAGTTAGTTGATAATCTGTTGGTTAGACTCTGTTAGGAGAAGTTTCTTCGTCCTTGATCCCTATCGTGAATTAATTAAACCTATAGGGTTCTTGGTCGAGCAAATTCTCGAATTTGAGCTCTTCAGTTGCAAATATTTCAAGAGACTGATCAGATTATAACCTTTTCATGCTTCTGAGATAGTTAGTAAGCTTTAGAAACTCATACGTACAGAAAAGATGGCCTTGAAATAATTTGTCTACGCAATGATAAAATGAATTTCGTTTTCTTCTCTGTTTCATAGAACCCTGTAACATGACTATCATTTCTCTTCGCCATTTTTCCATCTTTTTCTATTTATTTGCTGTTTATGACATTGTGGAATTTATGATTTGTTTAAGTATTATAAATATATGCTGAATGCTAATATTTGGATTTCAGCTCCAAAGCCTGACAAGTCTCGCGTTACTCAAGCTTCTCATTAGATCTGCATGCATTGATTCTTCCTGTTGAATCCTCTCATGGCTTTGCATGACTAGGTAAGACCTTTGGATTAGGATTATTGCTTCTCTGAACATCCTGGACATCATGTATGGTATTATGATGCAACTCTGCTGCATATTGAATGATTGTCAGTTACTGGTGCATAGAACAAGTGGGCTGCATGGTGTGACCTTCTAGAGTATAGCCTGTTAAAAGGGAATGGCACGGATTAGGGCACTGTGCAATTTTTCTTGCTGTGGCAGTAGGAAGTGATGCTCATGCTAAGATTAATAATACCTCTAGCTATAGATTTCCTTGTATCATAGTAGTCAATCACAACGAGGATGCTATAAAGGTCTTCAAGATGAAGTAAGACAACATCCTTGCTCTTCATTCTTAATTCATGGTTTATTCTGAATATATTGTTCATTGTTCTTATTCCTGGTAGTTAATCTCTTCATTTGACTATAACCCAAGTCAAAGTTGCTGTTGAAGGTAGTTCTCATTTTTTAGGTGAACTCATCGCAAAATTACTTCTGAACTATAGTTTTCTAACTCTTTGTATTCTACATGTAAAGCGCAAATCTGGATGTGACATCTCATAGGTGCTGATTCTAGCATAATAAGATTCTCTCCCCTTTGTGCGTGATGCCAGAAACAACTAATTATTTTGTTTCGAGATCTTACAAAATTTAATAGTTACAGTGCATTCAGACAGCCCTTTAAGTATAGAGATCTGTGTCAATATTATTTATGATTATTCACGTTCTTTTTCATGACAAGAGGATGTAGTTAGACATTTAGCATCCCAAAAGTGTTCAAAATTCAGTGCACTCTTACTGACAATGATTGTGCCATTTACTGCTTTTCCAATCACAGAATTTCATCAAGGGACCCACGAAAGGAAGCGTGATGCTTGTCCGGATCTTGCCCAGATGTTCATGTGCTTACTGAGGGTTGCAGCAGTGATCAGAAGTCCATTTCATGCTTTAACTTGATAATAAGATTGCTAAGATAATTTACGGCATAAACTGTGCAGGCATCACTTTTCTGAGGCTAATGTTTTTTTGGTAAGGTTCTGAGGCTAATGTTTGTCATCAACATATCCAATAATTGAGCTTATTTTTTGTTCTAGCTTTTCGAACTTTGAGTTATTCTTGATGTGTTATTGATGTGTCTGAGCTCCAGAGTTCTGAACTATATCATGTGTCATCCTTAATGATTTGCATGTGTTTCGTGTATATTTCCTGGCAAATAATTGCAATGACTGGATTTAAGGTTTCCGCTTATACCGATTATCTCGTAAATACTTGAATTTGTAATAATGATGAGTCAATTAATGTTTTGATCGTTGTTGACTTTGCCTAGCATATTATTGTGAGGAAGTCTTAGTGATTTGATCGGTCACGTGGTGACCATGATATAGTCACGGGGTGGCTCCAAAAGTACATGAAAAACTCAATATTTTGCTCGGTCAAGGGGCAATTTGCAATCGCTTCTTCCCTGTGTGCTTTCATTTACTGACGTGATCTCTTTTCTTTTGGTAATAAAATGTCGAAATTTGAGTTTTTTTTTTTTTTGCGAGTCATGATTATGTTCTTATCATTGTCTAGTAAAACGTAGAAATACCAAACCGTTTGCCCAAAAGACCAGAGTCTAAAATAAACAGGAAAATGGTGATTTTGAACCATAATCCGTTAGGACTTTTTATCAATTTGTGGGGGTTCTTTTCTACGTTGAATATCGGTTCTGTTCTATTAATTTCATGTGGTGATATGATCTGGGTCGTGGGAATTGTGATCTAGAAGTTTCAGAAATTTTTGGAATAAATTTTAGACCTAATAGACGAGCTTCAAATTGGATGTCGATTTCTGTTCATATGTCTATATTGGATTGATTATCATATTACCCACAGCAATGTTGATCATTTTGCGCCTTTAATTTTGAATCAATTCCATTTGGGGCACCTGCATGCATGGGCAAAATTCCTCGTAATTTTACCGAGTGTTTATGGTAGAAATTCCTCATAATTGGACCTTCATTAGGCCAGTAGATGCGTGGGTAAGCTTCGTGATTCTATTTCCGATCTTAAGGACAGTTTGATTGCGTGCAATTTCGAGTTATCATGCATTTACACGAGAATGCATTTGACTGGCTATAGAGTTATTCAGAAGCTTTTCCGTTATTGGGTCTATCTCTCGATAAATTAGGGACTACTATAGAATTTAATCAGGATTTTCGATGATTAATATTTAACAAAATAAAAAATGGAGCTTTAATTGCGCTCCGAAAGTGTCGGATTTGCTGTGTCTTTAAATTCGACCCAAAAGAAAAAACACAGCAGGTCATTAACTGGTCATCCCCGCACAGAGGTTGCAGAAGACTGTACGCGTGTGCAAGGCAAATGCCACGTGCGGAAGAAACGTGCGTGTGTGCATGACAGCTTTTTTGGCGTTGTGCACCATGCGGTCGTTCGAGATATATTGGTATACATGCATAATTTTCCTGGAGCGAGGTGCTGCAAAATTACTATAATATATGAGGGATGTAATAGCATTAGTCACTCCCTTTAGTATGGTACAAGGGTCATCTAATCTATTTTGCGAATATGCACGTAATTTGGCTCGGGCATTTGAGATTCAGGAATATAACGTTAAACTTAAATTTTCTGATATCACAAAATACATAAGATTTCGTATCTTATTCAGAGTGGTCATGAGTGAATATGCATAGAAAATGTGTTTTGTGTAAATGCTTGGCCACCAAAGTGACACATATACAGCAATATTTTGAGAATTTCCCTCTATTAATGTCATCTCAAGCGATTCTTCTTTGTTATTTAAGGTGTATCCCACCATCAACTCACCTTCTAGCAAGCCGACCGAAAGCAAAGTGGTGTCTGGCATCCAGAATAACCATCGTGGTTTGATCAAGTGTGATCGACGAGCTTGGAGTTTGATCAAGTTCACTTCTTGGAACTCCAACGACTATCGCTGTGGTTGTCACTAGTTCATTGGACGGGGGAGATTGATTTTCCTTTGTCAATCTTTCTGGCTTTCTTTCTTCTGTTCTAGTTGTCTAGAGGAGATCTGGGTTTAAAGTTTTGATTAGTAGTTTTGCGTTTTGCCAAAATAGGATCGCGGACGATGAAATACCTTTTAGCAAAAGTTTGATCTTTAATTTTTAATATGAATTGGGCTTTGTGGCGATTCTGATAGGGACTAATTTGCATAATAAGGATTACTGATGGTAACTAAAGCGAATCTAGAGAATTTAAAGAATAAAGAATAGCAAATCGATAAAACTGGAAACTGGAATTGGATAAAAATTGCACAAATGTTATGGATTGCAGATCATTTACAACTAATGCCTCTTGGCATTATATAGCCTTGTACAAAATAGAACTGTCATCGTGCGGTTATTGTTAAATTACAAATTACAACTAACCTGGCTTCATGTAGATCGTCCTTAACTGCTCGTTCTTATCATAAGCGGTTATGATCTTCGGCATGTCCTTGGGCTTGACTTTTCTCTAGTCTTCGCTTACTACTGACCGTTTATCATTGCACGTCGACGACCATCCCGGCCTACTACTCTTCTTAGATGACCATGGGTCTCGTGACATTAATTTGGCATCGGCTATTCACCGATTCGTGATCGCGTTGCCTGCTGGCTCCATCGACAACCTAACGTCGACCCATCATGACTTGGTATATTTTTGGGTGTCGACAACTTGGCATTGGAGTCAAATGTTCTGTCTCAAAGAAATAAAAAAAGGTCAAAAGCGCAGGGCAGTTTTGTAATTCCAGCCCATTGAAGCAGCCTACTAGATGGAGAGCACAGCAATGCGATCCGATAGTTTCACCGATTAGATCCATCTCTTTCGTTTTCTATTTGTTATTCAAGTGGAGTGTGTATGCTCTATCCAGCAGGAGGGTTGTACATTGCAGATCTAGATTATCTTACGCATTGAAATATGGCTGGCTACCCGCCAGATGTTCCTTTTTCCTTTCTTTTCTAAGTTTGTGTAAACTGCAGCCGTAAAGAACTTTTGGGAACTCTACATCTTGTCCATTATCACTCTTCAGAGAGCTGAGCCATCAAAGAAAGACATCTGGTTCGCCAGCATCCAGCTGTTGTGTGTACAATATATTCAGAAGAGAGAGAGAGAGAGATTTGCACTTGTTCTGTGGTTCAAGGAGGAGTTAATGGTTGGCCCAAAAAATGCAAATGGAGGTATTAATGAAGCCCAGGGGGTCACCGAAACGGGGTGACCCTAGGAGCTTCCTCTGAAACATGAATCCGTCAGACACCTAAATTTTGATAACCTATTTAGTTGTTCGTTGCATAAACAATTAAGGATTATTCCGAAATCTAGACAAAAATATTAGTTAAATATGTGTATAGATACTATGAGCATTTTAATTAATAGTGATAAGGCCGCTTATCTTTACATTTAAATTGGATCGTCGACAAATGGACTTACATGAATGGTTGTGAACTTAATTGGATTAATTGGATTGAGCCCATAAGAGCATGAAATTTTGCCAAGACCATGGATGCCAAGGAGTCGAAAATTGCATAATTAAAATGTCAAATTGGAAAATTAATCTATGAAAAGAAAACTTGGGGGCGATTAATCTTGATATTATCAAAATTCAAATCTTAGAGGATAATTGAGCAAATTGATTTGATATTATCACAATAAGAGAAGAGAAGAGTTTCTTATTGTTAAGATAGAGTATGTCTTTTAGAATTCGAATTATTAGGAAACGAAGACATCTCTTACTCTTGAAAGAAACCCTAATTGTCAGCCCTATATAAACTCTATTATGTAAAGAGAAGGGAGGAGGACTATTGTTTCTCAAGAGGGGGACGGCCACAATTTAGAGGGGAAAGCGTTTGCTTTCACAAAGGGTGGAAACTCTTTCAAAGCTTGAAAGAAGGGCAAAGGGTGTCTCTCTCGAAATATTCACGCTTCACACTCCAATTCCACGCCTTCACTTCTTCAACAGAGCATCATTGAAGCCAAGGCCGCGGAGGCTTTCCCCGCACGACCTCCATCCCGACGACGCTGTGGTGGCTCCAGTCTCTGCTGCACTGCGTCTCACATCCGTCTCCATGCTGCACCAGCTGCACCATCCGAACCACACCGACGCAATATGCACTGACGCCAGTTCCTGCAATCTTTGCATGCTCAAATCGACCCGAGGAGTGTTGAGCCACCGCGAATCCAGCCCCACCACTAGTCTGGTGAACCTTCCAGCTAGTCCTCTTGAGTTTCTCGGTGCTTTCTTGCAGGTTTACCGGTGCCTTTGTCCACGACCAGCAACGAAATCACCAGCGTACCTACAGTCCAACATCTTGTTGCCGCGACCAGTCAAGCCTCCAGGGAAGCCGACGTCTCCATTACTCCTGAGAAGCCCTCGCGATGCTCTCTCCCGTCCGTGATATTCAACACTGGAGCTTCCTTCACTGGCGTCTCACATATCGAAGAAATAAAGTTGAAGAAGACCAAGGCTGAAGAAGATTGGTGAGCTTGAAAAGAAATACAATAATTTTGGTCAAGTAAGTCCAAGCGGTGGATTTATCTTCCTTTGGATTTTGTACAGAATTGACAATAATGTTATGGGTTTTGTGATCTTACTTTATGCAAGCTAAACAATATTATTTTGGCAAGGAGATCGTGAAGAGTTTGGGCGTGTTCGCTTGGCGCCTACCTTCACGAGAAGCATGAGCTCTGTTCAGTCCCTTCTCTCCTATTTATGCATTTTTTTTTCTTTTTTTTTTAATGATTGTGATCATATTATGTTTGCGGTTGCTTCCTTTGTGCGGACGAAGCGGGCTTGGCTTTTGGAACTTACCTTTTTATTCCTCTATGTTTTTCCTTTTTAATCGGCGACATGATTATAATACCCCACAATTCCTATGTATTTGGATAGTATTCAACTAGGAGTGATGTAGAAGTAGCGATGATATGCACGTTCACAAAATGATACTCTAGTTAGTCATGATCTTCGCCATCTCTATGGATGTTTTGTTCCATCCATTGAGCTTTTGAGTTTGCCGTAGAGACTGCATTTTTCTGTGCTTGCTTCGGCATTTTTGGAAGGTCAGTGTCAAATAATATATCCGCTGACGGTTTGATTATGAATATGCAAACTTCAAATTTTCTAGTAATGGTGTGAAATGCATTTCGATGTTATCGCAAATGGTAATGATTTTCTGGATTACTTAAGAATTTGAAGTCCACAAATTCAAATCGAACCGTCGTCACCAAATATATTCTTTGACCATGATGTTCCAACCTTTTTTTTAGAATCAATATAGAATGTGAAGATCACACATGATCAGAACTTACAACTTTGTGAAGTGCATATCAAATTCTTTTACGTCACTCCCGGTTGAGTATCATCCTATTACATAGAAATTGGGGTGTATAATCTTATATGTCGCAAATTAAAAAAGAGAAATAAAATAAATAGAACACTAAAAGCTAAACTTGAAATCTGAACCTTCTTCGTCCGCATAGTAGTGGAAGCAAACAACCACAAACATCATATATACTGAGAGAAAGAGGAACTAAACAAGGCTCTTACTTATCGTGGAGGTGGGCTCCTTCGAGCGAGTGAGTGGTGGATTGTACAGAAGCTTGAAGCCGTTGAATATCTCTACGGTGCGACCTTTGGAGTCCGATTCATGGGGGCTCATCTTCACTTCCATAAACTCTTCGGATTTTCTGAAATTTTTTTACTTCATGGATTCTCGATGGGGAGAGAGATTGCAGAAGAGGAGAAGGCGCAAAGAGAAATAGTAACGGAGAAAGATTGACGGAGGGTATAGAGTAAAGGTGGAAAGTGGGTCCACTATGTATACGTAACGATTAATGAATGGAGTGGTAGATGGCCGACATGGAAGGACAATCTTATGCAATATTTTTAGATTTTAATTTGTATCGAATAAGGAAAGTTTAATGACCCCTCACTATACTCTATTCTCCATAGTCTGTATGACGAGGATCCTATATTTTTCAGAATATCTGGCTTTTGTCTCCCACTCTGCCCCTTGCAATTTTCTTTTTGATTAATATTTAGCTTTTTCACAGTTTAATTTATTACATGTCTCGACAATATTTATTTTTCATTTTCCCATTAATTTTAAATTTTGCGATGCTCTCATTTCAATTTTTTCAATTCGTAATCTCACAAAACTTTCACAGTATACGTTACAAATAAATTCGCATATATGTTCTTTTGAAATTTGGATATTATTTAGAGTTTTGATAAGAAAAGGAAAATATACTTTTTATTTAAACTAGATTTTAAACAAACAAGCCTTTGATTTGTAAGAGTAATATCTGCAAAAATTCTTACCAAGTCTTTTTACCATTTAGTACTACTACTATATTCTTTTGTTCACAATTTATTCCTTTTGCTCGACTTTTAAGATGATTATATTATCATATGAAATGTCAGCTCTACTAAAGGTCAGTCCTCCAAAAATAATTATCATGGCACATATCCATTTATGTTTAGTCATTTTGAATTGTTTTCATCTTTTAAAAAAACTTCCAAAATATTATTTTAAAGACAAATAGAATCCCGAATGTGATATTCTATTTTGTCCTCTTGCTCACTTTGTGGTCTCACGTGACTTTGGGTGGTTCGGTGGAAAAACTTATAATGATACTTGTCTAAATAATTGATGTATCAACGTTCCTAGGAACAGTTATACTAAATTAGTATTTTCCCATTAATTGTCCCAACATTCCCCCTTTTCCCAAACCTAAAAAAAGCAAGCGATTTCGTTAATAGACTATATATTAGTATTTAAACGAAAGGACCGTGTTTCGAAACTCAATAAGAGTCTTTGTTTTATAGTACACTAACTTTTGTCGAGCAACTTTAATGTATGAATATTGGTCCACTTTATCTACACTCTATGTGACATGACAGACATTCTTAAACATCAAAAACCTCACATTCATTTAAATTAGGGATTAATGCACTAGAAGTCCTAAAACTTATCAGAAAAGTGCAATTGAGTCCTAAAACTTTTAAAAAATGTGATTGAGTCCTAAAACTTGTCACGAAAGTGCAATCAAGTCCTAAAACTTTCAAAAAGTGCAATCAAATCCTAAAACTTATCACGAAGGTGCAATCAAGTCCTAAAACTTATTACGAAGGTGCAATCAAATCCTAAAACTTTCAAAAAGTACAATCAATGGAAGGATTTGATTGAACCAATTTGATAAGTTTTAAGACTTATTTGCACTTTCGTGACAAGTTTTAGGACTTGTTTGCAATTTTTGAAAGTTTTAGGACTCAATTGCACTTTCCTAACAAGTTTTAGGACTTAATTACACATTATGAAAGTTTTAAGACTCAATTACACTTTCGTGACAAGTTTTAAGACTTTGAATGCACTTATCCCTTTAAATTATAATTGCACTTACACCCTGCTAAGTACATTGACATAAACCACACTCTATTGGCCATTAAATGCGACCAACTTATTTAAAGGATTACTTATACTCTGTCGCATCAGTTAAGAATTCTAATATATGTCTCAGTCTGAAACAATTAAAGAGATAATAATATATTTAAATATTGTTAATAATTACATTTATTTTCTTAAAAAATAAGTTCGTTAAATATTGTTACTACTTATTTCATATTAGAGAGTATCTTTGGCCGCCCAACTTACTTGCTCTATTCCGTCTCTGATTACTATACACTTATCAGTATAAGCAGCAAAAAAATGACAGTAAATATTGATTGCGTAAATGTAAGGAAATACTAGGCACTATAGTTGATCTCCCGGGATAATTATCCAAAAAGTCCTAAACTCATTATACAGCAGCCATTTCGATCCTAATTTTTTCGATTTGGTATTAAATCTTTTGACGATTCTATTCATCGTGAATGACTTTAGTCATTTCTAGGCAGAGGTGGCAAATGGGTGGGTTGAGTCGGGTTTGGGTGGATCATAAATGGGTTCGATCGAAATCCACTCATTTAGACCCATTTACTTACCGAGCAATTGAAATGACCCATACCCAACCCAATCCAAACCCATCCATATAACCCATAAAAAAACAAATAAAAAGGCCCAACAATTCTTCAAAATTAAATAAATTTTGCAAAATAAAATGAAAACCCTAGCGCTAGGTTTTGGACCCCGACGGCGGCCGATGGCGCCGACAACGGCAGCCCCAATGAGGTAGCCCCGACAACGGCGGACTTCTCGTAGTTGACGGCCACGAAAGGCGTTGTTGAGTTCGTCACGGACCATCTTCGTCAGCGCGCGGAGCTCGCACGAGATAGTGCGGTACTCGGGGTGGAGCTCCGATTCGTCTATGTCCCATGAGCGGCTCAATTTTTGCGATTTCGTCAAAGATCCTGATGCAGTCATTCAAATCTCGCGATGACACACATCCCAAAGCAACAATGCAAATGACCTCCAACGAAAACGTGCAGAAAATCAGAATCAAACTTGGAGGGGTCTGCAAAGATTTCATTGCGCTCGTGCTCGATCGGAGGACTCGGCGGGGACGAAGGCGAGCCGAAGATTTGGTGATTCCATCCCTTGAATATCTCCTTACAAGAGCCGTCATACCTTGCCGATTCAAAGCTCCAATCGTAGATCCAGGACCCGATGGAGTAATCGCGGGGCTGACCGGAGGCGGCGAAGTCGAGCCGGGACTTCCGCTTCATTTCGAGGGTCTTGGTAAGAGCGGGCGGAGATCGGGGAGGTCCGTCGGAAGAGAGAGGGGGGGCGAGGAAGATGGAGACGAAGTAGAGGAGAGGAAGGAGAGAGTTGGGTCGATGATGGGTTGAAAATGGGTTTGTAAAAGACCCGAATAAAACCCATTTTGTTTGGGCTTTTCTTTTTCAAACCCATTTATGACCCATATCTTAATTTCATGGTAACCCTTATACGACCCATTTTCATAAATATTGATTAAAATATGAATTTATGACCCATTTTAACAGCCCCTGACAAACTAAGAATCTTTCGTGCAAACATTGCGAGTTTTAGCAAAAAAAATTTAATGATATACCAACCTTCACCTTGTTATTTCAAGCAATTTAAAATTTTTAATCTCATCTATCGAAAGTTTTTAATATAAAAACGCTTATTAAAGTTAAACCAAAGCCTTGATCTATACATTAAAACGTTTGTCGAAATCACAAGTTCGAAACTGATATTACAATTTACCAATCAATTTTTTATAGTGGAACTTGTCTAATTATGAAAAAAAAAATTATTGATGCTATACTTTTGCACTGCCATAAGCATCAGATTTTGGATCATGGCCTCTTCGTAAATATCATTAGTCTTTTGCATAAAGTATTTGAAATCATTCAATTAGTCATGCCTCGTCCAACGACCTGACAAATTCAATGTACACGAAATCAAAATATTGATAAAACATATGACATAATCACCCTAGCATATCCCCCGTGGATTTTCAAGAAAAAGTTAACATTTTTAGAGTAGAAATTGGGTAGTTCCGCCCAAAAGTCTAAGTATCTATGTTCTTCCCTTCCTAGGTCGGGGTAAGCCACTGTGATCCAAATTCTTAAATTGTTGTAAGAGTTGCCACCAATCATTTTTTAGGTCGCTTTCGAAAAGAAAAGTCAACTAGACTAAAAGCGAATAAAACTTTAAGGGCCGAGGATTTGATTAAGTGCCGGAATGGGTTAGCACCTTCCACATTGCCATTTCGATACTTTAATCTTATGTCATGAGATCTCCTAATGTAATACACGTATAGTATTCTTTTTATGTTTGGAAAATTAAAAAAACTTCGCTACTCGCTCTTAGGTAAAATCACCTCGTCACGGGGCGATTAAGGGCTCAACTGATCGTGTCATGTGATCCATGTTCTTTTAAGAAAAAATTGCAATAAATATGTCCTATGCATTTGAATCGAACAAACACGGACACATCGTCCAAAGGCGAATTTAGTCCAATCAAAATAGCATGCAATGAGCCCAATGCATATGATTCCAATAACAAAACTAAATTCAATCGTAAGAGCGTGAATGAATCCGATGTACACTGTTTTAATAAAAAAATGGAAATCTAATTAAAATATCAAACCGAACATACATATTCTAACAGATGCTAAATGACATGCAAATCAAATCACGAGGAATAATCTAGTATGTATCCAAACATCGAAGGCATAATCCAATGGCATAAAATGCAAGTTCGGGTGAATAAACAATTTTGATGCGAAACATGTTGACGATAGACGACGTGAAACTAGCTAGTTTCTCGACACGTGCTGACGTGTATGTATTATTCATGGCTTAAATAAATACACCACTGACATGCATGGTCACAAGGGCTAGTGAGCCCTTAGCTAGTGACTGGCTGGTTCTAGCGAAGGCCTAGAGTGCGCCCAGCCCGGCTCAGGGCCCAAATGGCCTTGGTCCAGGCTTTTCTAGCCTTTCTCAAGAGTTGTTCTTAGCTGAAAACATTTCCACAAAGTCTTTCTATGGATTCCAAGGCTTCAAAAGGTTGGCTACAAAGCACCAATTTGAATTTGAATTAAATCGATTTAGAGCTACGACTTTGTTTCCCAGTACTTTGAGTATTGTCCATTCCATCCTTGGCATGAACTTCATCTACAGCGTGGTCCGTCCAAACATGGCGGTTTTGCCTAATCTCAATTTGTTCACTTTCTACACTTAGATCCTTCCAAGCATATTAATATATTCATGTTATCCAAGTTGCTCTCCTTCTATTGGTCCATCTATGCACCTCGATGATTCCATGTCCCTTGCATGTTTACCAAAATCCAAAGGTTCTTTCAAATCTAACACTTTCCACTCAGTATCTCTTTCTCCCGTATGCAGAGCAAGAAAGCCCTTCATGTTGTAAACATCACCTGCATCCGCACACTCAAATACACAGATTAGCTCCCACGGAATGTTTTGTCATCTTCAAACTACATAGGGAGTTTTGTCGACAGAAGTTACCTTGAAGAAAGAACTATTTTGACCCCTTAGTTACATGGAAAAATTGAAGGCACAAGGGACCCTGGGCCTTACTCAAGGCCATTGCGCCATTGCAGAGCATCATAGAGATATTACACAGGGCCCTCGACTCACTCCTTAGCAGACTCTGGCCTCTAGGTAGTAAAGAATCAGTGCGGGGCATAGGCTTGGGCTGCAAGAGCAATGTGACACGCTCTTATTAGGTGTGCCACTACCTGGCATCGATTTTTCCTTTTCTTTGAAGAATAATTTATTTTATTTATATATTTTTCCAAACTATTACCCCTCATTTCTCTTTCATCCAATTGACTTGATATTCATGTTCGTGGAAAGCTCATGGCTTTCCAAAATATTTGTCCATTTTTTTGAAAAGTCTTGCTATTATGTGTACAAAGCATTACTTCATTCTGGTCTTATTTGAAGAACTAGTTTTGTTTTAATGTGTTGCGACCCTCCCGAGTGAACTTGAGGGAGTTTAACGGATTGCTAAGGAGGCGCAAATAACCCTCTTGCAAGATGGTACTTACGCTTCGCAGAAACTCTCTCAAACCCTACCGATGACAAATTGGTTTCTCATTAATTATTTGATTACTTATAGCTAGAGTCGCCACTAAGTTAGGAGCCAAGAAAGACACGGGAGATTGCTCACTTTTACGAACTAGAGATTCATAAGTCCGGGAACTCGGTTATATTAAAGAAAGGTAATTCTCGTTATGGGTACCTTTTCCTTTAATAAAAGGCTTTCCATGCAATACTCCCTTTCTTATTTTTTGATTTTTTCCGGAAGAAATGGAAATCTAAATATTCATGTATGGATACTCAAACAAATACAAATCCAATTAATAATAACATAGAAAGTAAAAGATGAGGAAAGAAATAACCCAAACCGTATCGAGCAACATTGAACAACGTCTTGTTATTAAGGTTCGGGATAGGATTTCCATGAGCTATGCATAAAAATTAACGTGCGCTAAAGTAAATAATAAATATGAGTTTCCTGATCTAGGTGACAAAGATCAATACTGCACTAGATGAAACCAGATTAATTATGAATTAACTAATCTTGTGATGCAATAGTCATCTCATAAGCCATCTAGTTTTTTGTATTATATACTTATGAGTTCTTTTCATTACTTTTACGATTTAATATAACTAAGTGCTTGTGAGTACAAGAAGAGTTAATTGAATGCTTGCGAACTAAGTAAAGCTATGTGCATGACTGAAACGGTAGAAAGATCCAAACTTTTTGGGTTATTGAAGGTGCAGGTAAAAGGCCAACACTACGTAAAAACGACGATGAGAAACTGCTGGATGAAGCAAAATCTAATGAATTTAACGTAAAAGCAAATCTAATGCAACAGGACCTACTGGATGAAGCAAAATCATGCAGACAAACAACGAGGTCACTCTGGGATACTTCAAGGCACCGAACATGGATGAAACATACACTGTCTGAAACCATCATGGAAAGGGAACAACCAGGCAACATAATTCATCCCTAGACAAGTTCATGCGAAGGGGATTAAAGACAGTGAATTTCATATCAAAGTAACATGAGAAACGAATCCTACACCTTTCGACTCTCAAGCTTTTTCTTCCGCTCACCGCTTTCTAATCTTGTCTGATTCTGATTTTCCATTACTTTCCAACTGTCATTCAAATCGCCCTTTTTGAATCCCCTAGCCACCGAAAGCCATCCCCCCTTGAAGCTCACGATCGGTTTTACTTTTGTAAAGAGTCCCCATCTCTCGTATTTATCTCTTTTTTCAAAAAAGAACCACCGAATCCTTTTCTCATTCTGTCTCCAAAGCTCACGGACAGATTTTCCTTAATCAATCGCCAAATGACCGGCTTTCTGTTTTTCCTCTCTTATCTCATCCCTGGCCAGCTCACTTGACCCAATCAATCTTTTCAAACTCCAGATAGCCTTGTTTGTTCTCTCATTTGGCCATCAACCGAGGGTTCTCTCTGAGTGGGAAAATTGAGCGTTGTTGATCTTGCAGAGCATAGCCCAATCACACCAATCGATCGTTATTTCAACTAAATTTTTTTTTTCAATGCTCAAGGCTTCGATACATTTGAAATCGAGAAATTTTCTACTAGAGTGAGTGCTATCCAAGAATTGTCCGTGTGATCAAATATTGGTAAAAAAATTGGGTGCCTACGCTAATAATTGCAAAGTAAGAAGTACTTGTATCCATTCGGAAAATCTAAAAACTCGTGCAAAGCAAATAATTGAAGGCCACCATGAGTCTATGGCAATGAACTTTTGGATGTACAACTTTATAGATCTGGCTTGGCGTTAACACTCTCGATTTCGAGAAGAGATCCTTGAAAGAAGAGATATATGCTCTCGTACTACACTTGATGAGAGGAAGAAAAATTGGCCAGCTTCCCATATCTGACGCGTCTCTGTAGGGGTTGTTTGGATAAGTATTAGGAGATAATAATTATTAATGGATAATATAGATGAATGAGAAGAGAAAGGGGCAAGGAAGAAAATGAACAAATTTATTACCTAAAATATAGAGTAATCCTTGAGGCAATTAGGAAAATTGTAGAAAATAAGGAGAATTTTAGAAAGCCACTTCCACAATAATAGAAGCTATTTCATGAACTTTTAGTAATCCAAATGGCTACCATTTGAGGAAAATAAACTAGATTAGTTTGATTGTAATTATATAATAATATAGATAGAGGGATGGAGCAAGACGATGCCAACAATAGTGGTAGAAGAATCCATTCATTACCTAAACAGAATCTTCGATTGACCAATTGGTCCTAGCCGCTAGTGCCAAGGTCCCAGGTCAACCGCTGGGGTCTTGGGCTTAAGCGTCAGGTTCACGAGGCTGACCAGGGATCCCCGGACCAGATTGTCGAGGTTATGAGCCTGACCCTTGGGTCCTAGGTGTTTCAAAGTATAATATTCTTACCGTCTC